AAAACAGAGTACTCGTACTGATAAATGTGTGTGTTTGTACTGAGCTATTTTTTGTACTATAATTTTGAATGGTTCTGAAAAAGAGGTATTTGTATTGATGTTTGCATGGGTTTGTATTAAGCGTATTTTCACTAACTAGACTTTTCTCCTTTTTTGGGTAATATTTTCTTCGTAAGTTGTCAACGATTTACTGTATCGTCGCCCGTGTACTTGCATGATTTATATCATCGAACTAAATGATATTTTCTTTAAAGAAAATGTTTTGTTTGATTCTTTTTTTTTTTGAACTAAACATTTTTTTACAACGATGTTCTAGACTTACCTCATTTTATGACTTGAACTTTTACCATTTGAAATTTCTACGTGGGTTTCTTTTTGTTTGTGCTTTTTGCCCAAACTTATATGGGACATCGTGTTGAACTTACAAAAAAATTAGTTGTAAACTTTTTTTTTCATTTTAATTTGCTTTTTTCCTTCGACTTTACTGCTACCAAATTTGTTGCATAATGATGAGTTCCATTCGGAATCACTTGAATATTGTAAAACCAACGTGTACCACCAAATTACACAAAACTCAAAGCAGCAAACCGATGCTCCAACAGAATTTCAACCATCCCAAAGCTTAAAACTGGGCGAAACCAGTACCACTGAAAACAATCAGGACACTCTATGACCAATGAAAGACAAAAAGTCTTGCGGGTACGGGCAGAGCAGCCACGCTTCAAGGATGGACCTGCCCTGCACGAAGCTCGATGTCCTGCTGCTATGTGCCCCCATATGACTCATCAACTTGGACGACGCCTAGTGATCGACTTGGACGGTGACAAGTGCTCAACTTGAACGAAGGTTGCCGAACTTGCATGGTTTATATCGTTGAACTGAATAATACTACTTTTAACAAAAAGGAAATGTTGTGTGTTTCATTTTTTTGAACTCAACTTTGTTTTGCGATGATGTTCCGGACATCTATTATTTTACCACTTGAACTTAACTTCTTTGAATTTCGTGTTTTTTAACTTTTTTTGTACTTATATGCCAGTAATAATAGAACATTTGTAACACAACTGTTTGTCCATTTGTCGACATCAACCAAAATAGGCAGGAGAGAGCACTATCGAACTGATCATTCTTTTTGACCGAACTATGTATGTGTTCTTATTTTTCAAGAACTGATCCTGTAATACATACTGAATGGCCACACATGTATGATATAATGAACTATAGGGCCTTAAAAGTGTAATGACAGTACATCTATAAAGCTCTACAAGATCACATGAAGCCTCTGCCAAATGAAATATACAAAATACTGAAAAAAAATTCACACTTTTGCACAAAGGGCATACTTCTGAACATGCTCGACGACACCCACTGAACTTGCAATTGACTGGTGGGAGCAAGCAGCAACTTTGAAGTATGCAAAGGCATCTTGTTTTTCCAGAAAAAAACAGGGGGCCATCTCCATATCAATAAATAGTTATTGATCCATCAGTGAGCATGCATCACAAAGAAAATGTTGAAAGAAAAATTGGGTGGACCGGGTGGACCAGCTACACCTCCTCCTCTGGACTGATTGCTACGGCGAGGTGGAGCTGATGGAGGCGATTTGGCCACTGCAGGGAATCCCAGCGACTACCAAGCCATCCTTGATGTACTAACTATGGTGATGTATTTTGTACTGCCCAAAACACCTGCAGGATGAACTGAAGGGGAGCCCCATCACTTGCAAGATGAACTGAAAATGCCGGCTATGTGGACCTGAAGAATCACCAAATGTTGAACTGAATATACACAAGTGAAGGAGCATGAACGTACACGGTAACTCTTATGTTACACAACAATAACCGAGCATATATGTTTATAAGTTGAAGGGTAACAGACCTCAAGATAGCAATGGACTTCCAATATTCATCTATTTGAGCTGCTGCCTTTTATTTTAGTATTTGACGCATCCTGCAAAAAGAAAATGGACCGAAATTTCAAAGATGAACTGAAAAAGACTAACATAATTCAGTAGAGATGGATGTGAAAAATGATGAGCATCCCAAATACTATAATCATTGAGGTTGTGGTAATTACATCATCCTTACATACTGATGTACTACTAGTAGTCTACTAAGTTGTACTTAAGTGCATCCACTTTTGGAATTCAGAGTAAGAAGTATTAGCTGAAACAAAAGAGTACTCATTTCAAGTAGGGAGTCATGTTCTTGTGCCTACATATTACAAACTTGATTTCTTACTCTAGATTCTAGTATCAGAATACAATGATGAACAAGGCTTTATATACTAAAGTGCATTTCAGACTTCTTTGAAGTTTTATTCAGAATGTCCTAGGTCAAGGCTCTGGGCAAATCTGTAGTTTCAGACTGAGCTTTTTTATATAAAAAGGTATGAAAGGCATAGTATGAAGACGAGAAGAATGGGGAGAAACCTTCATGTGACATACATAACAAAATGTTCAGAACTAGTATCGCAGCATAATAATATGTGAGTACAAGTGTGTAGCACAACAACGCAATTGTACAAGTCATACCTGGACACAAGTTATCTACATTCCTTTGATTACACTACTCTGACTAGAATTTAGTAAATAACACTAGACTCCTATCAAGATAACCTATTAAGATTAGAAGGAACAGGAAACTCAAGCGTACTCTCAGTTCAGAGAAGTGCAAGCATTTGGTACAGCCAGACGCAACCTAAAACAATGACTAGCTCCACACAAAATGAAAAATTGTCGAACTGACAAGCTCCACACGAACTGAAAAACTGTCAAACTGAAGAGCTCTAGATCAATATTTATGTGGTGAGAATCTTCTTTACCTATACTTGAACTTGTCCTAAATGCATTACATGAAAAGGGAAAGGGAGAGGAGTTACCAAACCTGACAAAACTTCAAATGGATTTAGCAGTGGAGCATTTACTGAGTAGATAATGGAGTTGGCTGGAGCATTGATGCAAACCTGAACGTATGGGACAAGGGCCTCTATCCTTCTGTGCAGGCAAGTCTGAACTGATACAAACTTCTTTTTGCCTAGCTACTAATTTTTTTTAATATAGCCAGCTATTTTTTTTAACACACACATTGAACCGTTTCTGGGGTTCTTAACGAGCTGATGGTAGAAAACATGTTGAACAACTTTGGGCTTCCAGAAACTACCGAATGTTTTTGGGTTCATTTATGTACCTTTTTGTTATCTTTTTCTCAACTCCAAGCCACAATTACAATCACAATACACACATATACCACATAATTAACCAAAACAACTAATTTAATCCAAAAACAGTTTCTGAACTTGGTTTGAGCTTTGTTTCTTCAGATTTTTGAACTTTTGCAGAAGGTATGCCTGAACTTGCGTGAATGACAAAAATGACACATAGTTTGTTCTGCTTTTTTGTAAGATGAATTGAAAACATAAAATGGAGTACCTCCATAGAGTATCTCGACGAATTGGAGCTTGTGCATAACAGGAGGAGGACCCAGGAATTATGTAGCATCACACGTGTTATGCATGTTTATGTAAACAGAGATGCCAACTTTCTACATATAGTTACTTCTAGCTCCCAGCAAAATTTGTAAAATGGAAGGCAGATAGGTCTAGCTACTCTATTATGAAGCTCACCTTCATACTTGACAGACCAATGAACCACTGAAGAAGGGGCTTCCTAGGGGCGCTACCTATCTCCAACCGAAAAAGGACCGATGACGGTGGTGCATGAGCCAATACGACTGCCGTGGGGCAGGAACCCTGACGACGATGGCCTGATTATTGAAAAAATCCAGGGTGGAGCACGGGTGGCCTGCACGTAGCTCTTCTCGTGAACGGCGTCGGAGGGTGCAGTTGTACTGCCGAGATGAAGAGATCCTCGCCCTCCTGCCGCTGAGCGCAACGTCACAAAATACCAACTACCATCAGTCGTAGTCAAAGCACTTACTAAAAAGGTCCCATTGGCATGTCGAAGTTGCTTATTTACTTGATATTCTGAAAAGATCAATGCCAAGACTAACATCATAACTTGATTTTTTTTCTAATGGATGCATACTGATGACCTACTACAGGTATTGTTTGTTGAACTGTCCTTGTTGTTTAGTATGTTTTTTCTTTTTACAAAATTTAACTGAAGAATACCCCAAATGTGGTGGTTTAAAAAAATATGAACTTTACGGAAAAGAACGCCTGAATGTTTGAGTTGGAAGTGTGTGAACTTCTCGATGAAACATTTTATTTGAAATGTTTGTGGGACCAAAAATAGAAAAGAGTGGGAAATAGGATGTGCACTTTCATGTAAAGAAAGTTTGAACTCCCTGTCAAATAATTGGTTTCAGTAGCAGAAAAAAATTATTTAAACTTCTATATTGAACACTTTTTATAGAGTGTCCCCGTGAGCTTCCCAACTTTTTTATTTTTTGAATGAATCAATGGGCAAACGAACCTTTGCCCGGAGCGTCATTGAACGGCCTCGGTTGGCGGTGGTGAACAGACTAGGGTGGCAGCTGTGAATGGCCTGGGCGCTGTCGTTCCTCCAAATTGCATTATGTTGAAACCATTTTTTCTAACTTATCTTGGTGCCATATCTGACCTTCCATTTTTTGTGTTATTGAACTGAACATAAACAAGAAGTGAGCTTAATTGAAGTTAACTAAAATTTAGAAACTTAACTTAACAATATAAAAACTGAACTTTCTTTTAATTACTGGCTATGTGATAAACATTTCTACGAAGAGTAACAAAAAGTTCTCGACTCATTTACCAACAGTAGTACATCTCATGGGAACAAAAATTCTTTCCACTCAGGGAACAAAATGTTCTTCATCCAGGGAATAAAAAATGTTTTTGTTGGTAATTTACAATCAGCACAACAATAGCATATAAACATTTTATCCTAGATCATGCTGCACATTCCTAGCAATTCACATTTCACTGATAACCATAACATCCACCTGAAACTAGATCAATTCTTTAGATTCAGAGAAGTAATGGGGAACGAATGACACTACCTAATCATACTCGAATTCAGAAACAGAGCAAACATCGGGCAAACCTTGAATTTTGTGCACATTAGCAGAGGCTGTTGGTAGTTCAGAACAGGGATGATGGCTTCTTTGGCGAAGACTGTAGCCGGGATTCAACTTGTACGACAAACAGCGCTCAATTTGGACTGAGAAGGAGGTTGCAGCTGTGCCTGGGAGGAGAAAAAGGGGTTCGCCCGGGCAGAAGACAGGGGAAGAAGCGAGGCCGCAGGCGGCGCATGGCAGTTCAGGGACGAAGTGACCGCGGCGACGGCTGGTGTTGTGCTCAAGCATTACTGCAAACACCTTCCGTGCAACACACATGTCAAAGAACTGATTATGTAGAAGTGATCCAACGAGCCATCAAGGAGATGCAGGGCTGAAGGAATGAAATTGACCTGGGTGGCGGCACCACGGCACACCAATCCGAGCAGCGAGGGGAACTGGAGACACGCGGGGAAGGAGCAGCGCAATGGCGACGGGGAGCTGCGCCGGTGGGATAGGCTTCAGCGCCAGCTGGATCTTGCCCATCCGGACGTGAGGAGGGGGGAGGAGGCTTGGGGCAGAGTTCCTCATCGTCGGTGGTAGGCGCGCTGTCGGGGAGGTGCTGCTCCGTCGTCGGGAGATGGAGACACCACTCCATGGCGATGTGATTGGGTCGGGTCCGGCTAGGGGTGGCGGTGCGCGGAGATAGGGATGGGAATAGCGACGCGCGCCTGCGTGGGCGGCGCGCTGCGGGTGGGCTGGGGACGGCGGCACGCGGCGGCACGCTCGGGGTGGTGGGATCGGGTTGCGGGAATCGTCCGGGACAAGGGGTCCGGGACAAGAGGAGGCTCGGCGGGGAGGCGTGCGGACGGCCGGCCGGCGGCCGCGCGTGGGTCGGAGGAGCGACCCGTCACGGCGCCGCGGGCTCCCTCGCTCCGGCTGCCGCCGTCCCTCGCTCGCCCGCGACGGCTGCCTCCGGTGGTAGGAAGCGGGTTGGGGCCTGTATTCAGCGCATCGCGTCCTTACAGGGACCGAGGGTATTCCGTTACCGGTAACAGAATAGTCCAGCCCTCTCTATATATATATAAAGTTCGTTTGAGCACATACTGAAAATGCCGCGTTGAAGTCTTTACTCTCCTTCACGGAGTCAGCTAGCTGAGCATGAACATATTTTAATTCTACACTAAGCCGGGTACTGGCATTCAGGAGATCATTTTTCTCCTGCCTGGCCCGCGTAAGTATACGCTCGCCAGCATCTTGATGCCTTTGAGCTCTCTGTTCATCCTCTTGTAGAATATCCGGATTCACTCCAGGATTATCTGCGGAATCTGTCATCAGATCGGCAACGTGTCAAAACCGCTCGTATACGTGATTACGTTTTTTCTCGATGGAGAAAAGTATTACCAGTTGGGGCCTTCTTGGATCCCTCTAGTTCGGCAGTTTTTTCCCTTAGCTGGGTTTGACACCTCTCCAGCTCTTGATACAGCAGGTTATTCTTCTTTGACAGAGCATGTTCATACAATGATCCTTAAATCAGTTGTACCAACTGTTTCAAGTCTCAGGGGCTACTGATATACATAATTATCAGTTTTTACTTACCCGTATATCTTTCAAATACTGGTCTGTGGCTCTAGCAAGCCCATCTCGAGCAGCTCGGATGTACGCATCACCCGAGCCGAAGGCATTGAAAGCTTCTTCGGAGAAACCAGGGTTGCGGAGTGCGGCCCGCCGACACCGATGATTCATGGCGCTCTCTACTTCGGAGTTTGTAGCGGATATTCTATCCAAATCCTCTATACAAGGGATGTACGGTATCGCCTCCGTATTAACCTCTGCCCTCGAGGACGGCTCTGGAGTTCGACTGGTGGAGGCATGGCTAGTTGGATCCCTGGATATAGTCCGTCGAATGTTCTTCCTGCCAAGACAAAAAGGACAGTGTCATACTTTAAGATGACTGTCACGGAGCACGTTTAAAACCATACCTCTTTGATAATGGTTCAGCCGCATTGCCGCTCGCCTTCCTTTTTGGAAGCCTACCCGGCGTAGGCACTCCCCGTTGGTGAGTTGCCTCGGGTTCAGCGGGGCGCGCCGACCGCCTTCCCTTTAAAAAACATAAGCATTGTGTTGTGGGTAAGGCGGAAAGAGTGAATTCTTTTTGGAAATAAGTCTCCTATTCACTTACATGTGATACAGGGAGAAGGCCAGGATAGTCAGCAATGATGGCCACTTCGGTGCCATCACTGCTCGCCTGGTAAAACACCCCTTCAACAAGCTCCACAAATATATCCGGATCCACTTCGAATCCGGGGTCAAGGGCTCGGTTGCGGTCCTCTGGCTATGGAGTCGGGTTGTTGATCTCCTTGGTAAACTCCCGCCATTCCTGTTATGGATGGGTAGAGTAAAAATTCATGCTAAAGGACTGGGAGAACGGATAGAGTTGAGTAAGGGATAGCAACTCACCTAGCTAGGAGGGTTATACATGGAAAATCCGTCCCGTGGCTTAATACAGACGAACTCCTCTTCTTCTCCTTTGTATAACTCGGACAGTATTTTCACTAGAGCATTGGTGGAGTCCGGGCCTTTCCTACCGAAGTGGGTAGCGTCGTCTTCACCATTGAAGTGCCACATGGGATGCCCTCGGTACTGGAGTGGTGTTACCCCCCGCATTATGCATACGGCCATAACTTTGATTATTGTTAATCCGGATGTAGCAAGCGTTCGTATCTTGCTCATCAATTGCGGGACCTCTCTGCTATCTTCCTCCTTGAACCTCCGGGGACGCCAGTTGCGGCGCTTCACCAATGGAGTATTTGTGAACTCAGGAAGACCCATTCGAACTGGGTCAGGAAGGGAGACGTCCTCTATGTAGAACCACTCGGAAGGACATTCTTCGGATACCTTCTTCGGTGTGCCGGATAGGTATCTGGTCCCGGCGATGCGCCATATCTCGGCTCCGCCAACTTGGAATATTGATCCCTCTTGATTACGAGGGGCGAGGCAAAACAGCCTCTTCCATAGCTCAAAATGAGCTTCACAACCCAGAAATAACTCACAAAGGGCGACATAGCCTGCGATATGCAGGATGGAGGTTGGGGGTGAAGTTATGCAGTTGGAGGCCATAGTACTCCAAGAGCCCGCGGAGGAATGGATGGATTAGAAATTTGACGCCCCTCAACAGATAAGGGACAAGGCATACTCGCTCCCCCCATATGGATTGGGGAAATTCTTCGCTTGCTCCCTGCCATCAAAAGTAGCTAATCCGGCTCGGACGGGGACTAGGTATGCAGGTGGGAGGAACCCCTGGGTTTGCAACTTCACTAATTGACTGTGGGATATGGTGCACTTCTCCCAATCACCCGGATTGACGCTGTGAGGGCAGGAGGAGGAGCTGCGGGGACCGGCCATGTTGGGATGGTTTTTTCAGGCGCGCTCTGATGATTCTTTGCTTGGGGAGGATGGTGTGGATTAGATCTGAAGATCCCAGTCTCTTTAAATATACGATTTACTTACATGGTTAGGGTGGCAAGTGTAAAAATGCCCCGACTCCTCGCATTCGCTTGACACGTGGAAGCTGGAGATTATTGGAGTACAGAAGCCGAGGAAGTGTAACATTAAATGAGGAGCCAAGTACTGCTCTTTACAACATGTACTTTGGAAGAATTCAGAGGAGGAACCCGCCTTGCAATGCCGAAGACAATCTACACGCCGGACTCATCAACATTGAAGTCTGGTTCGGGGGCTACTGAGGGAGTCCTGGGTTAGGGGGTCCTCGGACAGCCGGACTATATACATTGGTCGGACTGTTAGGCTATGAAGATACAAGATAGAAGACTTCGTCCCATGTCCGGGTGGGACTCTGCTTTGCATGGAAGGCAAGCTTGGCGATTCGGATATGTAGATTCCCTTCTCTGTAACCGACCTGATGTAACCCTAGCCCCCTCCGGTGCCTATATAAACCGGAGGGTTTAGTCCGTAGGACAACAACAAACGTAATCATAGGCTAGCTTCTAGGGTTAGCCTCCTCGATCTCGTGGTAGATCAACTCTTGTAATACTCATATCATCAAGATCAATCAAGCAGGAAGTAGGGTATTGCCTCCATAGAGAGGGCCCGAACCTGGGTAAACATCGTGTCCCCCGCCTCCTGTTACCATTAGCCTTAGACACACAGTTCGGGACCCCCTACCCGAGATCCGCCGGTTTTGACACCGAAAGGCGCCTGATCAGGTTTGATGGGCGTGGATGCATGCGGTCCGGAACCTATGGTCGGAGACAAATTCGGGATTCCGGTAACACAGGCTCCGCTCGAGGTCGGATCTGTGTGAAGCTCTAACGCCGATGAGTCTACGGCTTCCATGGCAGGGTTGAGCTTCCCGTCCTCGGACGATGCAGTCTACTCTGGATCTAGGGCCAGAGTACTTACAGGTGCTATCTCCAGGGCACGGTCCGATGATAGATCTAGGTCATGTTCATCGTGGCAGCAGGGAGCGGCTGTCATGGGCTCAAATTCGTCGAAGATCAAGTCTCCGTGGATATCGGCAACGTAATTCAAGCTTCCAAATCTGACCTGATGGCCAGAGGCGTAGCTGTCGATCTGCTCTAGATGGCCAAGCGAGTTGGCCCGTAGTGCGAAGCCGCCGAATACGAAGATCTGTCCGGGGAGGAAAACCTCCTCCTGGACCGCATTGTTGTAGATGATTGACGGAGCCATCAAACCTTTTGGTGACGACGCAGTGGAACTCTCAATGAAAGCACCGATGTCGGTGTCAAAACCGGTGGATCTCAGGTAGGGGGTTCCGAACTGTGTGTCTAAGGTCGATGGTAACAGGAGGCGGGGGACACGATGTTTACCCAGGTTCGGGCCCTCTCTATGGAGGTAATACCCTACTTCCTGCTTGATTGATCTTGATGAATATGAGTATTACAAGAGATGATCTACCACGAGATCGTAATGGCTAAACCCTAGAAGTCTAGCCTGTATGATTATGATTATTCCTCTACGGACTAAGCCCTCTGGTTTATATAGACACCAGAGGGGGCTAGGGTTGTACAAAGTCGGTTACAGAGAAAGGAATCTTCATTATCCTGACTCCAAGCTTGCCTTCCACGCCAAGGAGAGTCCCATCCGGACACGGGAGAGAGTCTTCGGTCTTGTATCTTCACAGCCCATCAGTCCGGCCCATGTTACATAGTCCGGTCGTCCGAGGACCCCTTAATCCAGTACTCCCTCACCCCCTCTAGGCCAGCCTCCTCTTCCTCCCTCCTTTATATACATGGGCAGGGGGCACCCCAAAGGCACTCCAAGATTTGTCTTAGCCGTGTGTGGTGCCCCCTCCATAGTTACACACCTCGGTCATATCGTCGTAGTGCTTAGGCAAAGCCCTGCGCCGGTAACTTCATCATCATCGTCGCCATGCCATCGTGCTGACGAAACTCTCCCTTGGCCTCAACTGGATCAAGAGTACGAGGGACGTCATCGAGCTGAACATGTGCTAAACACGGAGGTGACGTACGTACGGTGCTAGGATTGATCGGATCATGAAGACATACGACTACATCAACCGCGTTGATATAACGCTTCTGCTTTCGGTC